AAAAAAAAAAAAAAAACTTTTGGCTCAATCGTGAAAAAAAATCATTGGTTCATGGTTTGATTCGATTCTCTTGTAACTAGAATCAAATGAAACTATGTCTGGGCCTAATGTTGTTAATAAATTTTGATAAAAATAATAAAATGTGGTTGAAAAGTTCCTAAAAGATATGAATTTCACAAAATATGTGGTATAAAATGAGTTTATAGAAAAATGAGTTTTGAAAAATAGTGACCAAACAAGGGCTAAGTCTACGTTAGATTAGCTAAAAATGTTGATAACATTTAAATTAAAGTCGACAATTGATTTTAATTATTCATTTTTTTGGATCCATAATTTTTATCAATTTTCAATAATACATTTTTTCTACTGAATTTGAAAAATACTTTATGGCATTGACAACAAATCTGCAAAATATAATTTTGATTAGTGATATTAACTAATGGAGATACAGGTAACAATTTATTTATTTTCACAAATAAATTTGTTAAATCTACTAAATCCATGTTTCGAAAAAATTATATCTAAATTTAAGTTGATCAAATTTTTTTCTTATTCACACTTACTGTCAACAATTTACCACTCATATTTAGTAAGACCCACAACGGGAGTGGAGCCAAACGGTTAAAGAACCAAATGAGCTTGGCCCTTCCGTCCGCTCGTACCACAGCTTATAAACGCACGACATAACATAACAAGCATCATATCATATTGTCACGTCAACTAATGATTTTTCGAGTAAGCATTTTTCCATGGCTGCTTGATGTAGCTCTCAAGGTCAAGGCCATATGATCAGAAGTTCGATCATCAAAGGATTGGACTCGACTCGAGTATTTTTTTAGAGTTGAAGCAGTTACACAAATTTAAGTCAGTAGTAATATTTAGAGGCCCTAAAATTCGGACTAAGCTAGTTGATCCCCGAACTGTGTTATTTTAGACTCGTACAAGAAATTCTACAATTAAAACCAGGGATGGATTTAGGGGGGGGCTGTAGCCCCCCCTCCCCCCCAAAAAAAATTTTTGGTTAGAAAAAA